GCTCCTTCATGCACATTCCTCTACAAATCACTGAGTCATTATAAAGTCAACACAACTAACAAAACACAAAATACTGCCTCAGAACGTTTATACATTATACTCAATTACATAGACCTTTCCAAGATATTCAACCCTGAAACACATGATGACTATTTCGCCTCTGGGGCAACAGCAAATGTTTTGGGGTTTCCTGTAGCCAGCAGATATCTGGATAAAGTTGAGTGATGAGTTATCTCTATAGACAGATATCTGCATATTAATGCAGATATAAAACAATCTGATCAGATCATAGTTGATGGGTTCTGTGATTGCGTGCATTTTGGCCAGTCCTCTTTTGCTCTCCACCTCCAACCAAAGCCCACTCAAATGTGATTGGTCAATACTACTTGGATTACAAATAGAAAACAGAATGCTTCTGATACTAAAATCTTGTCCCTTGCCTACAGCTTCTGGATTCATATGTAGCTAGCTCTTTATAACAGTGTCTTTTTATGTATATTAATGCTTTATATTCTTATTATATGTCTTAGCATAATATTGGAATCTGAATTGAAGTGTAGTAAAAGTGGCATGAAATATAAATACTCAAGTAAAGTACAAGTACCTAAAATGTTTACAGAACTTGAGTAAATGTAACAGTGTTTATTGGCAACCAAATCTCCCATAATCCAGCCCAGACAAAAATAATACACTGGTCTTACTATACTTCAGGAAACCACAAGTTCTACTATACATACAATTTTCTCAAAGTTTCCAAACTAACTGCAGCTGAAGTATTACCTTGTAAGAGCAGAGGGACTCCCTGACAGAGCCCATCTCCCTGGGCCCCAGCAGACCCTTAGCGCGCACTGATGGATGACGCTTTAGGGAATAGAAGCTGTACTATGTCACCTTGCTGTCATACAGGCTGAATCAATAAAACCTCACTCAACAGAGGCCCCAGACTCACTGACAAATTATACACAGTAACTTCTATTGTTTTCATTTCTGGGGCCTGCCTCCTCTCTCCCCCAGCGGATAAGCATGCTTCTATATTTCTGGCTGTTGGTGTGTGTGTGATTATGCAAGTGTGAATATGAATTCAAATGCAAACACGGCAAGCAAATATTTAATGCATGGCAACAAACAGGAGTGGCCAAGCTCCCCCTCAGCTCAGTGTCATATCATAAAATGTACTGCATCAACGTTTATTCTACACAGTATATGAGTGTTAAAGTGCAGGAAATGCATGTTTATGCATAATTAAATTGCATCGGTCTGCTTATTTAAACATGTGGGTGTTTGTATCAGAATTCATAATTAATGAATGTGTGTGTTGGGAGGAAGGGCAGCTGTTCTTTTGACTTTGCCTGCCAGCAGAGGCAAAAGAATACTGGAGGTAACAGGACGCCTCGCTCCACGCTGCCTTACTGGCACTAATCTCAGGCTCATGGCGTGCGAAGCCCAATTTAGTGGAGAGAGATCACAGAGGACAAGGTGTGCTCAGTTTGTGATTCCTCTGTGTGTGCTTTAGTGTGTGTCAATAACTGTATATGTGTATCCACTAAATGTCTCTTTCTTCACAGTAATATCGCTCTATTTTGTGAGGTGTTCTTGTTTTTCTTTTCTTATGAGAAGCAGAATATTCTCTCAAGGATAAAAAGATGAAGATTGTCCAAAATGAGTTCATTCTGTTTATCCTTACTGCTTTAATGGGGTAATTTGGTGTGGGTTTACTGTTAAAACTAGCACTTAGAACAAGGTTTATTTTAGAGTAAAGGTTAAAGGCTAGGGCAGAGAGCAAAGGTTAGGGAGTTATAGTCAGTCAATACAGAACCTCATTGAACAAGCTGCCACACATAATGGCCGTGACTCAACAAGGGAGTATCCTGGTGTTAAAGCTTCAGTGCTCCTTCAGAGACTGTGTTTGAGCTCAGTGGATATCGAAAAACATGTTGGCCAGGTCATTTGCAGTTATTCACCTGCATGTTTCTCAAATCATTCCTGGATCTTGCACTATGACAGGAAGCGATAAAAGCACCCAACCCCCTTGGGGTGACATTACAGCCATGAATGGAAGAACTTGGTCTCGTCTCATGTTAAGGTCGTCTTTGGGATCAAGGTGTTGATCTAGGTAGTAACGGACCTTGTGGGGCACCAACCAAACCATTAACACCTCCTCCGCTGTGCAGCTGTAACCATGCACAATGGACCCAGGGTCTTATGGTATAAGTCACACCCTGAGTCGACCATTGTGAAACTGAAGTTGCTAGCAAGATTCACCATATTAGACAACCATTCACCACTCAAGATATCCAGTTGACACCACATAGTGTTATACTTATCATATTTGGTATATTATTATGTATGCAATAAAATTCATTCAAATAAAAAATGTTGTCATGGTGAGCAACATTTAAAAATCGTTATATACCTTTGATAATGTAGAATCTTAATCTGACCTTTAAAGGTCCAGTGTGTAACATTTAGGAGGATCTATTGGTATAAATGGAATATAATATTCATAGGTATCTTTTACTTGTTGTTGTTGTTGTTGTGCTTTCTCTACACCTTAGAATGAGCCATTTTACCGGACACTTTGATTTCTCTCTTGTGCTTGGAAAGGGAGGCTGAAACGAGTGAGTCGCAACTGCACCACTAGATGCCAATAAAGGTGTGTAGGAATTAGTGGCATCTAGCGGTAAAGTTGCAGATTATTTGTCAGAGCCTCTCGTTGTCTCTCGTTTGTCTAAGAAGAACTGCCTCCTCCCATAGCAACTTTTTGCAAGTCATTTTGTCTCCAAAAAGCCCAGCAACTCTTTGGCTCAGTCTTAGTCTTAGTAATCATTTTATATGCAAAGCAAGTGTGGAGATTAAGTTGCAGGCTCTAGTATAGTGACACATTAAAAATCCTCTGCCTACTGTTAGACAGGAGTGTCTTTTTGTGTAGGTGTGATTATGTTATGGCGGTATGGTTCCGTTATCCATGTAAGCATTCACAAACAGTGTCACTTATTAATACCCTTCTATGAAACCTTACTTGCTAATTCCCACTGACTGCGAAGGCAGCAGAAAGGCCATCAGACAGGGTGTAGACTGTGACAACGCCCGGAAAGACAGGCATGTGGGACCCGACCCGGGGTCAGCCTTAATCAGAAGTGTCATTTACAGCTTCAGCAGCTGAGCTGAATGACTACTGCGTTCTCACTCAGCTCCTATGTGTCACTGATTACAGTTTCATTAAAAAAGTAATAAGTTCAGCAGGCATCCCATCATGAACAATGAAATTGCTGTGACGCTGTTCATAACAAACTATATTTCCATGGAGAAATGTGACAGAGGCAGTAGAAGGGGAAGGCAATAGCAGGCTGGCAGCAGAGCAGGGTAAACACTGTTGCTGATGAGCTGAGAGGTTGCCATCAGCAGAGCTGTGATCAGAGCCGTGTTGCTGTGTGTCTGAGTGCTTGCATATGTGCGTCATTGCGTGGGTGTTTTTCTGTGTTCACTGAACGAGTATCGTGTGCGCATTTCTGGAAGTGTACCTGTGCTTGTGCCTTCATGTGTGTTGGCCAGTGGGATTACAAAAAGACAAATGTAAGAAATTGGAGGTTACTGGAGTGGTGCAAAGTGTGAATAAATCGCTTCCAGGCGTGCAGCGTTTATCCAGTTTTAATAAAGCAGCTTCAGAAGTTTGTCTAGCCCAGCAAGGTTTCAGTGTGTGCAAAAGGAAGATTAACAACCAGCATTTTGTGCAACAATACACGCCTTCTCTTTGATGGTAGATCATGAGGCGAAGGGGAGATGAAACCAGTGCGCTTCAGCAGCAATGACAGCTTTTGCCTTTTCCTCTGCACAAGCAATGCATAAATACAGTGTGAAAATTATTCACGTTGATGTTTAGTCACTGGTGTGAAATGAAGAGAGCTTTGGTTCTATTTTAGAAGCTCAAAGAAAGATGATATCTGGAGGAAAGGTGACTAGTGACTGACCATGAGCTACCAGACCAGGGTCACTTTGTGCCTTTAAATCTCTCTCAGAGCTTGTTTTAACCGTCTCTAACCTGCTGCATCACAGTAATTCAGTGAAGTCTTCTACAGCACTCCTCTGAATGTTATAGTTTAGAAACTTGCATTCTGCGCAGCCCTCTGGCTGAACTCTCTAAATCGCAATTCAAAATAATAACTATAAAATGAAGTAATGTGTGATGTATTTGGATACTTAAGGGGATGATGGAACAGGCTCCTTCATTTATAAAATCATTTTTATGGCTTTTAGCACACATCCCCACTCTATTGTGGTTTGATAAATAACTAAGATAGGCCAGGTGGACCCACAGGCCTCTGTCCACATTAGGCTTTTCATATCAATCAGATTCTGTTACGTGGGAGATGAGGTTTGCCTGAGTGCTGTCAGGCTCACTTTTTTAGTGAGCTAACATGAGTGTGAAAAGCTGAACTAAGTGGGAATCATGGTTCTCATCTTCGACCAAAAGAGCTTACTTATAAAGAACCGAACAGAGAAGGAATCGCATGGAACTGAAAGGGCCATGGTTTGTGCATATCGGGATTTCTGATAAAAAGCTATTATTGTTAGAAACAATGAAAAGTGTGTCCTAACCCTGAAAAACATGTTGTTGTTTCTACTTAGGATTGATTTTTTCTTTTGCTCTGTGAAGCACTTAGTAAACAGTTTTTGAAAAGCATACAGGTATTCCCCATCTTAGTAGTTGTCGTACTAGTAGAATTACAAATGTAAAATTAAAGGTGGAGTACGGCTTTAATCAAATTTAATTTCTTCTGTCTAACTCAATTCCTTTGCCTTTCAGTAGAGAAAGAACACAGATCCCCTATGATGTGCCTTCAATTTATTCACCACAAAGCACAAAAAGCTTCCGTGCTTTTTCGCCCCGCACTCTCATTAACACTGAATACAAACAGCATCCTCCCACATTTGCCGTCAATTCAAAAGTAATTAACGGCACTTGTTGACTGCTTGAATAGCTGTTCCACAGAGAGACTCACATCTTCTTGTAGTCGCACATGGTGTATTCGGGCCAGTCGATGAAGCACACCACCCGGCCGGGGAGCTGGGCTGTGGTGGAGTAGTAGTACTGGGGGAAGGCCAGGAGCAGAGCCAGCACCCAGATCACTCCCACCACCACCTTGGTCTCCGTAGACGACATGCGCTGCTGCAGAGGGTGGATGATGGCCACGTACCTGCAGAGGTGAAGGGGAGAAGATACAGTGAGGCTGAGCAACACTTGAGCTTTGACCCCACAACCAACACGTTCCCCATCCTCTGAATGCGTTTTGTATGATCACATATTTTTTGTATGAATTATTAGCACTTTGCTGTTCAGCGTGGAAAGCAATGAACTGAACTGAAGCTAATGAACATTTTCAAAACTATGTATCTGCTTCCATATAAGATCTACATGTAAGTTTGACCTTTTGGGAAACACACTCATTCATGTTCTTGCTGAGGGCTGGATGAGACGATTGATAACACGCTCATATCTGTTTGGTACCCTGGGAATGAGATTTAATCATCTATCTTTAAGCCTCCAACCCAAAGCGTCTTTATATCTTTCTCAGCCCTGATTGGTTGCTTTTGTTCAGGCCCGGTGGATTCTTGCAAATGCGATTAGGAGCACTAGGAGGAGCCGGAGGAACCTGACTTTTTCACAGTTTATCTTAGATTGTCTCTGCAATGCTATCAGAACACAGTGAAAATTTCAGCAAGAGTTTCCTACTGAAACAGGAAAGTTTGACATTGACTATATGGACAAGTAATGACTTTGATCTTTAAGGGTGTTCAGACTTGAGTTAAGGTTTTTTGTTACAAAACAAGTGTAGGGCTCTGATGGCCGCACTAGAAATGAAGCACGTGGTGGTAACACTTTCATTTACTTTAGTACAGCACTCAAAATGCACAACAACAACAAAATAAATAACTGGACACACAATTTGATTTCACAACAGTTTTATAAGCCATTGTTTGACAGTACTTATCTTTTTGGAGCCCATGCATTCTATTAACCTTTTTCATTTTGCTAATATATTAGAAGTTCATTAACTTAAGTTATTTTTCATGAAATAAATTTAGTTTTCTTTGAATTACCAGTTCCTGGGGGTTGCAGCTGGAAGTGTCTGGCTAACAAAAAGAGCCCTGGCTGCCTCAGACCTGCTTAAATGTTGATTGGTGTTGATTGACAATTGGACTGCACCATATTCTCCTGCATCATGGGAAGAGGCAGTGTTTGTTAGTTTGAGTTTCGTTGTTATTTCATGTAAAACTATGCTTTTCATATTACTGTTTATTTTTTTTCCTTAGTTAATATTAGGCAGCATTATTTTGACATGTTTTGTGGTTATTGTAGTTTGTTTAAATGTTATGTCTCAGTCTATCCCCCTGTGTGTCAGAATGGTCTGATCGCTATAAGTTTCCCCATGTCTCAGTTCAGTTCATGTTATGTTAATGTAATCTGAGTTTAAGTTCGTTTGTCGACCTCTTTTATGGGCCCAGAACTTTATTTATTTTATTTTTATTTTTTACAAGGATGCGCAGGACAGTGATCATAAACACACACACAAGGCAAATAAGGAGCTTTTTTAGACCAAACAGTAAAAATAGAGACCAGACAAAAAACCCTAAAACAAGCAAGCAGTGAGAAGATAAGAGTCTGCTAATGCCTGGGACTCAGTGCCTTCAGGCTATCATTGACTGCAATTTGACACCAAATATTAACTATGAAGTAAAATGTAGAGACTGTGCAAAAAAAGTCTTTTCATCTGATGTGGATGTGAACACCCCCGAATTAAAGCTAAGAGCCTTTCACCCATATTGTGTCAGTACAGTATAGAGCCAACACAGCAAATTGTATACTGTTCATATGAACAGTCTTTTCAGTAGTAGATATAAATGTAATAAATAAATGTTACCCAAAGGTCGCTGTTAGCTGGTGTTCATATTTACTCACCTTGGTTATAATATAACAGTAGACAATATTACATGCACAAGGAACATGGTTTAGATATTTGACCCCAGTCCGTTACAGTAGCTGTAGCTGTAAGAGAAACAGTTGCCAGATTACACTCATGTTGCTCGGAAATCTATTAAATGGAAAGATTAGAACTACAAAACCAAACTACAGAACTGTAGATCATCTCTCTCACCTGATTGTTGTCTTGAATTTCCCTCAGGATAAATATAGTATCTATCTATCTATCTATCTATCTATCTATCTATCTATCTATCTATCTATCTATCTATCTATCTATCTATCTAATAAATGAGATCTGTATGTAAGTGTGTTTGATTGTTGAACTACAGGCAGACTGGAGGATAAAGAGTTGTACAGATGGAGGACTCATTGTTCAGTGTGCCAACAACTTATTTGGGTCCTTGATGTAGGCAAAGTGTAAAACAAATGCTTGTTTGTGTAAGAGTCATAAACTTAAAATAGAGTTCCTGAAGGGTAACTCAAACGACACAGTGAAACACAACCCGCAGGATGTGATAATTCACACACGCTCGCCCACACACCTGCATCTGAAACATTTAAAAGGAATCTACTTTTTCTGAGTTAACAGGTCGAATAACAGAGGAAGCTTTGATTTACCAAAAGTCGTATGGTAACTTAGATAAAATCTTTTTTTGATTGGGAAGGGATCATAAAAGTGTGCTCCATGGAGAGAAACCAGCACTAAAGTTACATTATAAAGAGAGTCTGCTGTGAAGTAGAATTCTTGTTAAAAGATTCCCCTTGGTGTTTGAGTAATCATTTCACATTGTCATAATCATGCTCCTAATCAGAGAGACGATGGAGTGCATGAATAACTTAAAATGACCTCGTACATCATTAACACTGAGCCTCAAGAGGAAACTGGTTTGCAGGCTGGATCCATTATCCCTCAGTAAAAATACAATACTTCAGGGGTGTGTAGAAAATCTTTGCTACTTCACCTCAGTTCTTTTTCATCCTCTGCATAGATTTCTGACTTATTGTAAGTTCATTAGAGATTTGGTTGTATTGATTTACTTTCATTTAAATCCCTTAAAACTGTTTGTTCTGTAGGATTGTGCTCAGGCACTGGAAAACCCCAAAATATCATCCCTTGAATGGCTGGTAGAAAAGACCAATATAGCCAACTATAAGAAATTCATTTTCAAGTTGAACAACAGACAGGAGGTATTTTTGAAAATATGGGGCCTACACGAACCTAATATTGGATGGTTAACTAGGGAGTATCATTATCACTTTAATGTAGCAGTGGTAATTATATTTACCATGTACATTATTGTCACAATGACATGTGAGTGATAGCAACAGGATAATGATAATGCTTACTGTATTTATTTAATTTTTTAAAATCTTTTCTCCTTGTTGTAGTATTCTTGTTTTTTTATTATTGTTGTCTTTCCTGTCCATTATGTCTTTTTGTTATTTTGTAAAGCAAGAAAAAGTGAATTACGAAAAAACCCTGAACTCTAATATTTTTAGGTTAGACTGTATGCAGTCTGGATACGTGTTCTATATAATGTACATTAATGTCTACAGATAATTAGCATTAACATCCCTTTCAAGCAAAGCTCTCCAGTGAAATGCCGTCCGGGGCCAAAAAGGTCTAATTAAAGGCTTAATCCCACTAATAAGTCAAATGAATCTGCTAAATGGACGCTCTCCTTCTAATTATATCAGAGACAAGAGGGGGCCTTTGAAATCAAACGCTCCCAGCGGTCTGATAAAAATGGGGTGATCATAGTTTTGACTTTACTTTGGCTCTGCTTCAAACAGCACTGGCAGCCATGTGGCTTTTCTTTGTGTAGGTGAGTCATAGTCAGGCTGTAGATGTCAGAATCAAACACACACCTGCCGAGGACAGTGGTCCGCTCGCTCGACAGCCCAAATCATCATCACCCTTGCTGGCATGCAAGCACTGCACTCAGATTTAATGTATCCTGGACACCAGACAACAGTAGAAGTTGAGTCATTAAAATGCACACTTAATCCGTCAAGATTGAAGACTGGAGTTTATCAAGAATGATAAAAGCCTATTCACATTGAGGAATGTAATATACTTTTCAATAGAGAGGTGAGAAATGTTCTCCTTGAGCAAAGTTGAAAAAAGAATAACCTTATTACCAACTAAAATTTTTTTACCACTTTACATCAGCAAAATGTGTTTTTGCTGCATTTGATCAAATCCAAATTGAATGTAGGCTTAACTTTTAACATTTGCAGGTGACTATGGTTATAAACGACTAAAACTAAAAGATTCAATTTAGATCTATAATTAACTTTTGTTGGCTGAGAAGCCACAAACACTTCAGATATTGAGTTAGATGAGAGAAGATTGATACCCCTCTATACCCTGTAGGGTAACACTTTATAATGAGTACACACTATTAAGCATTGGTTAAGCATTAATTGAATTCATCATTTATAATGCATTTTTCTGACATGAATACACATTAGTATGTAGTTTATAAACACAGTTAAAAATGTTTTATTCATCATTGATAAGCACATTAGTTATGGATTAGTAAATACCCAGTTACAAATGTTTTACTCTTCATTCATAAGCTCATCCATAACGTGCTAATGATTGCATTTTCATATTTTATATATGATGGATTCAGCATTTCTAAATCAAGTATTACATCACTTACTAACCAGTTATTTAGGATTTGTCAATGGTTTATAATATCATTTAAAAAGTCTATGTAAATGATGAACAAACTATTTAGATGTAAATTTCTGTATGCACTTGCACATCCACTATTCAGACATGTATTAATGATTAGTGACTGTGTTAGCAGATGTTCCATAAAAAACTCACAAATTCATTTCCAATGGATGTCCTATAAACAGTTATTAATGCAGGAATTCATGAATTGAGGCAGTTACGAAGCACTACTCGTTAATTAAGTATTTTGGGTGAGCTCATCTAAAGTGAGCACTATCTATGGCTTATAAAGCATTTACAAATGAGATTTAAAGGCTGGCAATGCCTCAAGACTCACAAAGTTTTCAGTTATCTTAACAGACGAAGGAGAGACACAACACAAAGGGATATAGAACATATTGTATTGATATTTATTGCAACTTCCCAACATATTGTATGAAGACGAACAAGGGTGGTTTCTGAAGACATGCTATTGTTGTGATCTTATCTGTTTGGGACGTGTACATTGAGCTTGCACTCCCGCTCTC